GTACAGGAAAGGTTAGAGAACCATAAGTCATCGTGGGCATTGAAGTCGCCCATATTGAGTTTCGAATCACCCGTTAGCATGTGAACTATTGATGGCCTGAAGTTGGCGTCACAGCTGCTTTGAGGAGGAATGTATCCAGAGATGAGTACAATCGGTTCCACCAACGTGAAGGCTTGCTACTTGGGAACCGCAGGCTCTCTTCTACCACATAGTCGAACGCGGTGTTAACACACAGGGGTGCTAGGACTGCTAGGGTGATAGGTTCCCCCATCGCGGGCTTTATGTGAACGCGCCAGGATAACGCTGTGCTCTCGGGACAGCAGTTGATCACAGCGGTTGAGACAGGTGGAGGTGAGACGGAGATATTTACCGTGTAGTCTATGCAAAAAATATCAAATAAAGCACAGCTGGGCTCTGAACTGAGGGAGATTCCGTACCGATGTTTTCCATTGTCGGAAAACCAATGCATATAGTTGCTTTGTAGATTGGCATAATTTCGGGTGGCAGATACGAATGATACAGAATGGCGATGCAAAATGTACGTTGTTCGAGTACCATTCGAGCGAACTTCCTCTCTCTACGTAGAGTGACAATGAATCACATATCACAGCGCCGCCAAGGCCCATGGGTGTAAACTCGTTTAGGGTTGATCGCAGTACAAAGGTGCAACTCTGAGTTGATTTTGTAGTGCTCTTGCGGCACATTCACCTAATCTACAAAATTCTAAAGAATATTGAAGTGAAATTTTCAGTGGAGGTTTCAGAAGACGCTTTGGCTAGCAAATGTCAGGCTTTTAATCCGATGTCTTCATATTTCTTTAAAACTTCGGCTGCTGCTGCTTGTTCGCCAGCCACAAGTCTCTTCTTCACAATAAATATCACTTATTGTTCCGCATTTCTAAACAACTCTACATTACTTTTCAGACCGCACCATGCATTCGGTCTAAAAACCACCGTTTCTTTACTGCTGTAAGAGTTTAGGGAACGCAGCATAAACTGCTTTTGTGTAACAGAGATTTCCTAATCCTTATATTTCATGAGTTCGGACAGATAATGTAGGTGCTGCATTGGCCGCAAATAGTTTTTTAAGTTGAATTCTCCTTACCTATGCCGACTTATACGAGAATACAGCAAAGAGTCATTTAGTTAAATGAAAAGCTTGTCACCTGTTAAGGGACCGCATTTTAAAGTCGAGAAGGATAGTGACTTTGTGGAGGACACATAAAACCGAAACCTATTCAGGAGGATGTCTGGCTATGCATTATTTCAGCAATAGTTGCCTGACGATCGGAACTTCAAATCTTGGACGGTTTTAAAAATGCACGCTATGGCAAGGCGCGTACAATTCGATCTGATATTTTAATTAAAATTGCTCTTTTGCCTGCTTCCTGGCAGTTGACACTTAGTACTTCTTCCAGTTGGGTTTGTTTATTTGTTCCGTGCTTTTTAGATC